CAAAATTAATTTGGGATGCCAAAATTAATTTGGGATGCCAAAATTAATTTGGGGTGCCAAAATTAATTTGGGATTTGAAACTTTTTGACCCTCGGGTCCCAAATAATTTTGGCATATTTTGGCAGCCATAATGTCAAAATAATTTGGGATTTAGGCAGCAGGTATAATATATCGGGTACCTGATATGTGTAGAAAATATTTTATATATATATCGGGTACCTGATAAGTGTAAAAAAATATTTTCTACACATATCAGGTACCCGATATGTGTATTATTTATCAATTTTTGACTAGTGTAGTATAAGATTTAATCAATAATCATTAATAATTCTTCCTACTGTACTAAATATCTGAATAAATAATATAAGTTAGATTAGATTATATTATATTAATAAGCTAATACTTAACTGAAACTTTATTTACCATTTCAGAAGCTACTGAAATTATTGGAACAGCAAGAATATCCCTTGCCATTGATAACACAGAAGAATACCTTGGTGTATTTTCTTTCCACCAAGTTAGGATATCAAATGGCTCTAATCGAGAACAGAGAAGAAGTGGATCAGAAAGATATTACTCAAACTCATCCATTTCGTTTATAATATTAACTTGATTAGTTATAAGAAAATGGTTGAAGTCTTATATTAATTCGTCTTCTTGAAAAACAACATCAGAAAAATCATGATAATTATTCGAAGCAACTGTATTTTGTATATATGTTGATTTATAGATCATCGTAACTTCATATGATAATAAATATTATAGAATTAGTAAAAATAATGAATTATATTTAGAAATATTATATCTGAAATAATCTATCTCATTTTAATAGAATTTAACTTGTTCTCTACTTCAGTATATGACAAGCATATTTTTTGCTTATATATTTGAATCAGTAATGACATCTTATAGTGAGGATCCATTATAGATACAATGTAATGCATATCTCCCATATCTACCCAGTATTTATCAAACTTGAATTACATTGGTGTAGCCAATTGACAAATAAAAAGGTTTATATTAGTAATATTTCATTCAAGATGCATCTTAATTTTCACCATGTGAGGAAGAAAAATATTTACTGTTGAATATGTACTTCCTGATATAATATTTGTAACTACATTAAAGTAAATAACTAGTTAGTATGTGTTTTTAGTAAAGTATAAACAAAATTCCAAACATATTAAAGATTTATTATTATCTTCATAAAATGGCTTCAAGAAATCACAAATATTCTTAGCTTTTTTCTAATCTTCATCAGAAGACATAATTTGTTCAAAATTAATATCTCGTAATGCAAGATATTCAAATATACTTTTATATAGAATAGTGGATACTAGTATTAAGTATACTAAATTTCAGCAAGTGAATACGTCATGAGTTGGTTATTGACTTGATACAAGTTCAATACAACATCCAATTATAGTATTCTCAAAGTTTTGTTGTTGATATTGTGAACTATAGATCTACTTCACATATTCTCAAATTTTACTTGTAATATTCTTAACCATTTTGAGTTCATCCCTAACTATGAGATTCAATATATAAGTACAGCAATGTTAATGTAATAAACTTCCATTGGCAACAAGTATATTTTGATTATCAAGCTTATGCTTTATATTATTTATTGTAATATCATTACTGGTTACATTATCTATAGTGATGGCTAATATTCTTAATGTAATATTCCAATTATCAAAAAATACTTAAAAAGCATTTTGCTAATGGTAATTTTTGTATATGGTGCTGGAATTATTTTAAAAGCTAAGACTAGTTTTTGAAGTTTCCAATTCTTATCAACAAAATGACATATAACAACCATATATTCAAGATTTTGATTCGATGTCCACAAATCAGTTGTGTAACTCAGATGTCCAGGAGCTTCTTGTATCATTATACTGGCTTTTATCTTAAAATCTTTAACAATATCTTTACAATTTTCACATGCCATCTTCTCACTTATCACTTTAAATTGTGACTGCAAATTATTAACAAACATTAAGAATTTCTTATGTTCAACCATATGAAATGGATATGCACACATAATAAGTATTTTTGACAAATCTTGATGACTTCTTTCTTGTGAAAATTTATAAGTAACAAGGCTTAATGCAGATAATTGTAACGTTTGTTGTGATTCATTGACCTTCATATATTTTTTATATTTTGTATTTTTCATATGACAAATTAAAGTACTGGTTTCTGTTGTATTATTATGCTTTAAAACACTCTTACAGTATGTGCATTGAACATAATTCTCTAGTAAATTATATGGCATAAATATTAATTAAAATAATTTATAATAAAAAAATAATAATATTAAATAATGAAATTCAAAGTTTTTATAAAACAAGTATATTTACCATTCTGAGGATCATGCTTAATAAAGTGACCTTCTTTAATAACCCATGATTGTGACTTGCTTCTTTTACATTTTTTTATTCATAGTGGTTATTTTAGAATTTTCATTAATTGTTTCAGGACTTTCATTAACAGTGGTTACTTCAGAGCTTTTATTAAAAATGAATATTTCGAGGGCTTTCATTAACAGTGTTTATTTTGGGACTTTTATTAACAGTGATTATTTTAAGACTTTCACTTTCACTATGGGTAGAATTGATACTTTGCATTTCTAGTTGTAATAGGTGAGAGTTGGTAATGGTCTAATAAGTCTAATCAGAACTATAGTTCCTTTAATATGTCAATTATCAACATACCATTGTCCATTTTTTAGAAATGTCATGTGTGTTTCCTTTAATCTATGTTCTTGCACAGACACACTCACTTGGCTTCTGCGACTCTCTACTGGTATACTATTATTTAATAGTGAAGTACCTGAAGTTACAAGTGAGAATAATGAAGCACTCAAGAACAAAGACTAAGTCGTGTTATCACCTTATATAGCATTTTGCATCATGTGTTACATGCATTTATTTATATAAGATAAGTATTAATCATTCAAATTATTCAAAATCTAAAATATACTAAAGGGTATTATTGGGCCCATTGGGCCTAGTTGGATATATTCACAAAATCCAAATCCAACCTAATATTTGGTAAGCCCAATTCAAAACCCAGCTCATATAATAATGGGCTCAAAAACATGAGCCCAAACTGGGTCCAAGCTCGGTCTGGTTCGCAAATTCACGGGTTTAGCCCGGCTCATTCCATATCCTAATATTGATATTTTCTGCAAATTTCAACAAGCTAGACAATGAATTTGTCAGCGACTGATACAGAAATTTTTTTGGATGGGAAGAATATAATAATTCATATATTAAGTGGGAAAGAGTTATGGATGCCATTAAACACGCCTCTGAAGTGTACAAAGCAAAACACAATAACCGCCTGTTATTATTTATGACAATGTTAGCCGATTGGTTCCCAAAAATTTAGAAATTCTTGATATTTTTCAAGATGATGTAAAAGACAATGCCGATGACCAAAGGTTCATTTCTGTATTTATCAGCAACGAAGGAAGTGCATCCTGAAGAATGGAATATAAGTACATAGATTTTTTATGCTTTCAAAAGATAGTATTACTTACAGATTATTATTATAGCTCATAGTGCTTGGTCATGTGCAGACCTACCAGTGATAGAAATCGGTGATCTTAACGAAGAAGAATCAAAAGACTATCTGATTAACAAGCGCAATATCAAAGAAGAAGCAGCAAAAAAATTATATTAATTGGTTGGTGGTCATATTTTGGAACTTAAGTCTGTGGCAAACAAATAACTAGCTGGAGAACCTCTTGAAGGTAAGATTAACTTTACATGAATTTATGTAACTCCTCTTTGGATTAACTGCTTAACTCTTTGGAACAGTCTATGATAAACTTGAAAAATTCAGAATGAATCCAGGTCAACCAAATCATGGTACAGCTAAAATTATCATAGGAGCTTTGTTAAATTCTAATAATATGCTTCGAGAGATGACCAAAATGGAACCAAACAAGTTATTAAAGGACAGTATGTTTGCATACCATTCTGAGAGTAAGACTGTCACTTTTCAGTCTCACTCAGTAGAATGTTATATTCGAGAAAATGCTAAAATTTTCATTATTAAGAAAATATAAAAATTGCATAGAAGTTTATAAAATATGTATTTAGTATTTAACTTTGATAGTAAATCTTATTTTAACATTTATTCACTACTAATATTTAATACATTAAAGAAAAACAGAACCCAGAATTTGACTATTGTTTTTTTGATTAGGTTAAGCAAAAAAGTGACTTATACGGCATGTTTTCAAGGGAGAGTATGTGGATCCTAGACCATATAGTGCAAATCCCTGTATCATATTCTTTCACATTTCCAGAAAATTTCTATAACTACATAATTTGTTTATATTTTTCATATGATTCACAAAATAAATTGCTCATCCAACAAGGAGAACTTTTTCCAATATGAAGATTTTAGATCTGTAGTATAAATTCAAAAGATAAAAAAAATAAACCCAAATAATCTTACGGAAATCGACTTTACAATTATATCACTTTTAAGCATTCCACTTCACCTCATAATTGAAAATTAGTTCAAGACATAATAAAAATCAGTTGATACTGCACTATATATTAAATTTGATAATGGAAGTAATTATTTAACCTCTTGTTTTGCAGTAGTGATTTTAACCTTGCTAATAGTACGAATCTTATTAATTCTTCTATCATATCTCTCTACAAAACTGTACCAGTATAAAATCTCTTCGTGACCATATCGAATTGCTTTTCAGAACATATAGATTATACTTTCTATTGTAACAGAAATTTATTTTCTATCATCAACAATTACTGGTGAAGAGGGCAAGATTTTTGCATCTGTACTAGTTGATCAGATAGATAATTGATGTATCAACTCATATTCTATTATCTGTTCAGTAGGAGTGATAAAATTATCATCTTCTGACAAATCTGATTTGTTGATATTTTGACTACCATTAAAATTGTGAATGGAATTCTCAAAATTTTCATTAGATTTGTGTGGAAGCTTCTTTTTCCGATTTCTTTCTCTTATTTTGTTACTAATATCTTCTTTATAACACCGATTCAGAAAATCTTCTTTCTCCTCATTTAGATTTTGTACAGATAGGTGATGCAGAGCATTGAGTCAAAGACTCTTGATATATATCGGAATTTGATGTGTTATCAGATATATCAGCTATCTGTTCAGGAGTATTATCTGAATTTGTTCCACAAGAAGTATTAATTTTAGTAAAAGATTGGTCTTGTGAAATAGGTTGTTAGCTTGTTTCTTTCTCTTATTTTTATTTTTATTTCATTATTCTTTATATGTATTATCATCTATATATTATATA